CGCGGCAAATCGCGCAGCAAAATTCGTGGCGATTTAAACGATTTTAGCGCCTATCATCGGGGCTCAAATTTGAAGTAGAGTCGAATAGTACGATCACCTGGCCATACTAATGTACTCTACTTCAAATTTACGCCCCAATAATAGGTGCCGAGCTCGTCCTAAACGCCACGAATCTCGCCGCGCCATTTGCCGCGTCCACCTCGTTCTGGGTGAATGTTCCGTCCCCCCTGAAATCTCGTCCAAATACCTCTTCCGTACCAGTTCAGTCATGGAGATCTTTTATATCCCTATTTCCATTACTTTTGAGGAACCTTGAACCTAGCAAATTTTGCAGATTTTCTCGGTTCAATCGCCGCCGGTACATTTTTTTCCACAACACTTACGCTTTCAAAAAGTACTTCCAAATTGTCACAAAAAGTGCCTTCAAGCGGCGATCGCTGCGGAAGGGGGAAAACGAGATTGAGGAGAAGGGTGACGGAGAAGGTGACGGTTTATGAACGAATTTCAACAGGTCATTCGCCGCGCTTTATGCTTACAATTAGTCTACTCGTCCAACACCTATTTGTAATCGCGATTGATAAATAGTGATAAGGGCATCCACATATCTTCAGGGTCACGCGTAAATCTGCCAGACGCAAGCATTCTACATGAAGCAAGTCGTTGTGCTCTTACTTCTGATAGGATATGTTGGAGCTCGTATAACCTGTCGCGGACTGAATGGTGAACCAGTGGATTGGTAAGTTAATTTTCGAGTATTAATGATAGGTCCAACGCTGCAGATGAAGTTCAAGAGTGGAGGCTTTTGACATTAACCATTCCTTTGTGAGTAGCACCGCCATGGAATGGGTCGATCGCAAAAGTTGGGCTGTCAAGGTAACCTCCCTCAAACCCATCCCTGCAGCTCTGCACGTGGTTCAAATACATGGTACATTTTTGGACACGCAAGCAACGCTCACCAACGCTGACCTGAACCCTTGAATGATAGAAAAATGACAAAGGAATTTCTTGCTGGCTTGCGCTTTCTCCCGTTCGGATCCGGAATATTTGAATTCAGCATGAAACGGGAATAATTTCACTGCTCGACTCAAATTCAGATCCTTTCAAACGTATTGTTATGGAAGCGTTTGTGTGGTATCTTATACCCGAACGGCGTGCCACGTTTGCCCAGGGTAGTCGCGCGCTACGAGTGGGAAGACTGCAATTTCCAGTGGAAGAGCAGAAATGTAGGAAAACCGCTGCCGAGCCCTTATAAAAACTTCCGCAGAACTAATAAAACTCAGATTTCCGGAAAATCTGCTCAAAGTTCTTTAAAAAACCACTTTCTCCTCAAATGTTATGGAATTTCCCACAGAATCTTATAAAAGGACAGGGCTCAATTGCATGGGTATAAGACAATCGCAGATTTCATGATATCGCAGTCGGTTGGATAGATTGAGACTCATCTTCGGCCTTCTCGTATGCGGCTTTGAAGCGTAGGAGTTAGACGTGAACAGACCCGCTCGGGAGATGTTTCAAGGCAAAGTACCTAACACGAATTCCGAAAGTCCCGATAGACTTCAACAGCGACGTGACCAAATTGGACCTCTTGAAAAGTGCGTGTTGAGTCTTGTGGGAAGAGGGGAGAAATCAGTATAGAAGAGGGAACCGTAAAACGTTAGGCGCATACAACTGGGTAACGCCCTCGGTAAGCAATTCAGTGGAAAATTCCAGAAGCTCTAGAAAACAAGAACTAAGGAAAATTACTGCCAGATTTATTTCGAATGACCGAATTAATAAGAACACTTTTAACCTTGAAACCAACCTAAGTGGCCTCAGTCGGTCATTAACAGATTACGATGAAACAAAGAGTTAACAGTCCACTGGCAATGGAATTGGAAAGTCTATTTATCCTTTTATGGTCACTATCAGAATTCTACAGCTACTAAACGAAAAATGCAAGAAATCAAAATGGCATAAAAAAGTAATGGAGTTGGGCAAAAAAAAAATAAAAAATAAAAGGGTTTCAAATGGACCATGTGTAGAGCAGCACAAATCAGAGTTGTGTCACAAAATTGTGCTTGGAGCAAGAAATCTTCGAAAGACCCTGCAATCTTGGATGATCGGACCTCCCCAATAACCCTTTTATAGGTTCGTCGTCTACAAACCACCAACTTCATCCCGATCACCTTCACAGTTCTACTATGCAGATGGTGATCGCAGTAATTGGACTCTTGGACCATTGCCAATCACTGCTACTACGACCGCAGTTGGTGCAACACTTCGAGAATTCTACGAAAATAACCAGGTCAGACAATTTCCATACGTCTCGGAAGGGCATGCGTTGTTATGTATGCTTTTGTTGCAGAAAAATTTCATCTTTGCGTATAATGACGACAGTCCTACAGGAAGTGTGGACTCCTACAGAGGGCACAGCAAAGGAGTTACCGTCTTTGACGATGATACCGGCTTTTGGCTGATTCATAGCGTGCCGAATTTCCCATCATTAGGTGCGTCATAAGAAATTGCCATGTAATTTATTCATTGAGATGAAATGACCTGGGTCTAATTGTAAGGACATCGGTGGAATGTGCCATGCAATCGCATTATGTCTAAATTTGCTTGTGAAATGGATCACCGAAACGGATTACTGTGCGGCCCACACCTCTTTTTCGACTCAAATAAGTCCGTTTTCTACTGTCGTGTAAGACTGATATGGTGCTTCTACTCACTCTGGCACTTCCTTGCTTTTGCCGCTTGGAAACGTTCTCCTCACTCTGCTTCACAAGATACCCTCCTAGTAAAGAACCTCTCAAAAATCGTTTGCGTTGGCCACCCATCAATCAGTGCCGCTAGATTTCGGTCAAGAACGATTGTGTGGCGCATTCCATCCGCTTATAAAAGCGCGAGCAATATTCACCTAGATTAGTAGTCAGTCGATATATACTTACTTGCAGGATCATATTCCTATCCAGCAACAGGCATCAAATTCGGCCAGACGTTTCTGTGTTTGAGTCTTCCTACACGATTCCTTGGTGATGTCGGCGAACATCTACGATATCTTCAAGCAACACCCTTTTTTCACAATTTGCCTAACCAATTTAGTGAAAGGTAACATAGCTATATCGCAAAGACTTTACAGTACGAGGGAAATCAATAAGAACTTCCTCTAAGGAAGGTGCACACCAGGAACTTGGGCGGGGCTGTTTTCGCGGTCCCCAGCTTGCTAGTGAGCTCAAACCATGCAGTCTGAATGAGTCATCACTGGGTTGCTCCGCCCATGTTCTGTGGGTCATTCCAGTGGTTGTCAAAATGCTATGGAACAGTCTGAAGATAGTAATACTCAACAAATCGATTCATTGATTCAGGTACCCCGTCCTCGTGAACATCGTCAAAAAGCAATCTATTCCGAAATCGACCACCCACTTTACTCGCGTGGCTCAATTAAGTACAATACGTGGGATGCCGTTGAGGAGTTTTTCCAAACATAAAAAATTCAATAAAGGTAGGTTAATTCCACAAAATCGGCTCAAATTTTTCAAAAAAAAA